ATATCAGCATGAGCGAGTTAGCATTATGTGAGGGTCCTTCAAGTGTCCTGACCTTGGCAGGACAGTTCTGGTCCCTTCAGCCTGTGGTGGGACAGGCTATGACCCCTCCCCCACCCACAGCAGTCAGGGAACCTGAGGGTCTGTGAGGTCACCAAGTTCCATGGCCCAAAGGCTTGAGGGCAAGGGTGCTGGCCCATCTCCAACCCAAGGACTCAAGAGCTCCTGAGAGGGACACGTCGTATTGGGAACCAGGAACACGCCAAGTGCTGACCCCCGAGCCAGGACGAGGGGCAGGAGGTGCCATCCAGGAGGTCACGGGAGCCCCCGGCCTGGCTTGGGTGCTATCCACGCCGCGAGGCCGCCATGGTCCTTGGCTGGCCGCTGGTTCTGGTGTTGGTCCTGTGCCCGGGTACGACAAGCATCAAGGACTGCGTCTTCTGTGAGCTGACTGACTCCACTCAGTGCCCAGGCACACGCATGCGCTGTGGGGACGACGAGGATTGCTTCATAGGTCACGGAGTAGCCCAGGGCGCGGGGCCCATCCTCAACAAAGGCTGCGTGCGCTCCACCAGCTGTGGCCGTGAGGAACCTGTCAGCTACATGGGCCTCACCTACAGCCTCACCACCACCTGCTGCTCTGGCCAACTTTGCAACGGGGGGTGCTGGTTCTGACACAGGGACCCCCAGCCTGGCGCTGGGTCTGCAGCTGCTCCCGGGCCTATCGCTGCTACTTCAATACTGTCTGTGACCTACAGGAACCGCAGGGCCTGGGACTGTGCCCTGTGCCCCCGCCTCCACCCCTTCCCCCCATTAAATGGCCAGAGGTGCAGTCTACCTCCCGTGGCCCCGGCTTCCTCCGGGCTGGCAAGGCCCCTGGCATGCCATCGTGTGGGGTGCGGCCTGGGACTCTCGCTGCTCTGCTGTGCCCCACTGGTCCTAAGACGCACACCTTTTCACTTTGCTCAGGTGCCTCTTTGTGTCCGCGTCACCTTAGAGTTCGTGAAATACGGTAAAAGACAATAATACCAGATGGGGTTTCAGAGCACTTTTTTTGTGGGGCAGGGATGCTTTTGGAGGCAGGGTGTCCTTGCTGAGGATGGCCTTGACCTGTGTGATCTCCTTTCTGTTGTATGCCACCACGTCCAGCTCTGAAGCACTCACGCCGTGTGTCAGGCACTGCTCTGTCCTCTGGCGAAGTCCAGAGGACAGTGACACTCCGAAGCATCGTGGCCTCGGGGCTGGAGGGTCTCAAATGGTGAACAGGACCAGCAGTGCCAGCACCAAGTGGGGACTTGTAGAAGTGTATGTCCCCACCAGTGGCCAGGTGAACGTAGACAGCTGTGCTTCTGCAAGTCTGCTGGGTAAGGCCTTCCTTACCCTTCTAGAATGGTGGTTCCTGGATGCACCTCATATCCTGGGCACCTGGCCACGTCTGGAGGATTCTGAGAATGGGTAAGGGGCACCACTGACATCTGCTAGGTGGAGGCTGGGATGAGGCTCAGTATGCACATGGAAGGGGGCCCACAATAGTCTGACCCCTATCACTTCTTCCTGAAGGGAGGGTACTGAGGCACAGGGAAGGGAGAACGTTGCCTGAAGTCATACAGCTAGTAGCTAGCAGGGTTAGGATCTGAATCCAGGCCATCTGGCACCCAGAGTCCATGCCTCAGTTTCCCAAGTTGGGATTCACAAGGCTAGAGAGAGACACTTCAGGCCACTCACCTGGCCAAGAGCAGAGACAGCCCTGAGTGTTCTGGGGCAGAACACTTATCCAGGAAGGGCATGTGGATGCATTTTAAAGATGAGCACAGAGCACAGAGGCCCAGAAAGGGTGTTCCTCTGGCGACCCCTCCCCCATCATCTGAGCAGTTGAGGGAGGACTGGGCACAGGGTGTCATGAGGGGACACACCTGTAGGATCCCGAGATGACCCTGTCACCGTCCAGCAGCAGGAACTTCTCCCGCACATGGCCGCTCACCTGCCGTCGCCTGCGGCTCTGGAAGGTGTGGCCTTGCACAGTCCGGACGTCCAGGTTCTGGAAAGGGCATACTCTATGATCCCACGGATACTGTCCCAGCATCCACAGGGCCACTGATACTAAATCTTAGATTTGGGGATACCTAGCTCTGCCTCAAGGATCCTTTTAGGACAGCCACCCCCTTCCCCAATGACATGGGTTTCAGATCTTAGGGAACCCCAGTGACCTAGGAACCCACGCAAAAGTCCCCCTCTGAGGAACAGGGACATTGAAATGTCTCTGGCCTGGTCCCTACCTCAGTGGTCCAGGGGTTCACCCCTAGCTGCTGAGCTAGTGCCAAGAAGGTGGGCAGATGTTCTCGGTCAAGCAGTAAATAGACAGGTACCCAGCGGCGTGTGGCAGCATCCACCATGTCTGTGAGCAGGTCAGGGTCGGTGAAGACATCCATGACTACGGCCACCAGCTAGGGTGGGAAAGGGAGAGACACGGGATGGCGAACTGTGGCAGAGGTAGAGTGCTCTGGAGACATACGCTTCAAGGCCTGGCTTCCATGGGATGATCGGGGGGGGGGGGGGGGGGGGGGGGGGGGGGGGGGGGGGGGGGGGGGGCTGCAGGGAGACACCTACCCCAAATCTGTCCTGCATGGAGTGTGAGCCAGGCTGCCCTTTAGGAGATTCCAGTTTCCAACTGAAAACTCTTCAATCCCTGGTTGACTACAGATTGTCCCTTAGAATGCCAAAGGTCCACAGCTCCATGTCAGGGCTGGGTGCTGGCAGGCAGGCAGGCTAGTCCACTAAGGTGTGCTGAGAGCTTACTTAGCCTTGCAGGCAGACAAGGTTATGGTGGCATCTGACTCATTAGCCAGGTCTCACAGTACAAAGAGCTGAAATCGAACCGTGCCTGTTTCCTATGCCCTCTACTCCTGGAAGGCTGTACATACTAACCCATGTAGACCACTGGGCATTGGACCCAGGGAAACCCAAGACTGTTACCTAAGGAATGGGGCGTGAGGGGCCACAGAGTGGGGAACCACACCCAGGGCTTTCCTGGAGGAAGCCAGAAGTCTCTGGCTTGGTATAAAAGGGGACTGACACAAGTGATCACAACTTGGCTCCAGAAGCAGGGACACCAGGTCTCAGTAAGAGGCCTCCAGGTCTGAGGGAAAGGGATAAACCCTGGGCCAGGGTCAGGGGAGCATGGGTATAACCTTGCAAATTCCAGGAGGGTATGGGGGAAAGCCTAGGTACTGGTGATTGGGGGAAGGGGGTGACACCCACCTTTCGAGCCGCCTGGATCTCCTGGCGTACCAACTCTTTAATAGGTGGCTGGCCCTCGCCTGGTGGCTGAGTGTAGAGCTGAGCTCGGGTGATACCCTTCCAGGCAGTGTCCTCCGGCCAGCCCAGCCGCAACAGGGGTGCCGGCTCCTCAGACTGCCCAGGCCAGTAGGTCAGGCTGCCAATATTCCCATCAGTGACAGCGGTCCCTGGGCCTGCTCCACATGGCTCCTGGCTTGGTACTGTCCAGTCTTCAGCAGCTGCAGCCAGGGCCTGAGCCTCATCTGCACTCAGAAACGGGGGCAACCTCTCCTGCTGCACACAGGCCCGGAACGCCTCTTCCCCACTGCTCAGCAGTGCTTCCAGAGCTAGCCGCTGGCCCTCAGAGTACAAGGAGCCAGGGCTGGCCTTGGTCAGGGCTGGCTCACCAGCCTCCAGCCCCTCTTCTTCCAGAGCAGCCAGCTGGGAGGCCGCCATTGGAGTCACACAGGGCCTCAAGAGGCCAGTTCCTGGAAGGTCTGGATGGCTTTTGGGGTCTGACCATCTGGGGTCTTGTGATACTATGTGGCCACCCAGGGTAGCCCTGAGAACATCCCGAGTTTCCTGAAGCTGTCCCTGACTCACAATCCTACAGACAGTCCACACTGATTATCTGATCACCACGTGCCTAGCGGCCACCTGTCAGGCACCTCTCCCACTGTGGTACATTGAAGGGATGTCCCTGCCAAACCACAGGACCACCTCCAACTCGGAGTCAGTGGTCTCAGGTGAGCCTTAGCCTGCCCTGGTAAGTCTGGCTACCCGCCAACCATTTCCAGGTAAACGGCTGTTGGCATGTCCCTGGTCGTGCTGACTATAATCAATGGCTCCAAGGGCTGCAACAGATCATTTTAGAACCTGATAGACAGGAGGATCAGTTTCTGAGTCTCAGTAAACCTTCCTGCCCACCAGCTCCCACCGGCTGAGACACCTCCCAGTTAGGCCTGCCATGGAGACCATGGTCTGCCCCACAGGTACTTGCCAGTCCTTCAGTGAGGACCTTCCCAACTTCAGGGTAGGGAGGTGGCCTCTGCTGGGACCCTCAGACCAGTCTGAGCCCTCGGCAGACACGAGTGCCTCCTTCCACCCACTAATCCGGAGCCTAGCCTGGGTATCTATCAGTTTCAAGGTCTCCTGGCTGCACCTACTTCCTGGACAGGAACCACCCTCTCCTACCCCATGTACCTCTCAAGTCTGGAGCTGGTCCCAGCCAACTAGCACCACAGAGCCCAGAGGAAACACTGGAGTATGGCCAAGGGTCCCCTTCCGTGGACCCCCGAACCCCACTGGGTCAGGCCAAGGACCAGCTTAGAAGCTGCCTCCTTTCACTGAGCTGCTCTTCCAGGACTCTCCACCCAGCTGGGCGTTGGCGCAGGGACACAGCCCCTTGTGCAAACGCAGGGGCAGGGCCTCCTGGGCAGCTCGCTCAGGGACTGGCCATTGTACCAGCTTCCAGGGCAGTGCTCACCTGTTCCCACGCCTTCCCCACACCCTCAGCACAAAGATCTCGGGAAAGATTAATCCTAGGAGGAAGCAGACACCTGACACCCAGCACGGGTGGGACTCTAATCGGAGGCAGAGTGCTGCACAGTAGCAGGGAGGCACACCACCCCCTCCCCAGAGACAGCTCTGTATGTACCAATGCTTTGCCCGCCATGGGTGGGTCAAACCATCCCGCCCCATCCCAACTTCATGAACACACAGGACCATCAACATTCAAAGCTTTTTTTTTTTTTAATAACAGTAAGATCCAAGGTTAGTTTTTGTAGCCGCGGCTAGCCCTTCTGCCTCTGGCACGTTCGAACTTCCGGCCCTTGGAGCGGACGTAGGGTCTGTGGGGAGAAAAAGGGGGTGAGAGAAGCCCAGCTCACAGTGGCCAATGGGGCCTGTTCCTGTAATGCCAGGAACTTCTTCTGGGCTAGGAGGATGAGAGCCTTCATGGGGACCACCAGAGATTGGTACAGGCTCTGGGTAGCCCATAGTTTGGACCACCCCAACCAGCCACCGTGGCTAACAGCTACCAGGGGACAAAGCCTGAGCTCTTTGCCTGATACTCACTTGGTATGGCTGTGTGGGGTTCCTGGGGCCTTGCCAAAATGCCGATATACCTCTCGGCCCTTCCGAGGACCTGGCCAGGGAGGGAGAGTTTAAGTAGAGACCAGGAACTTTGACCACTGGGAAGGCTCCCCAAACCTAGGCCCTCAATGCAGTCCTCACTCACCAGACAGGAGCACAGTGCCACGGCCCTTGGGAGACTCCAGGGCCAGCTGGTCGAAGGTGAGGATCTTACCCCCAGCCTTGAGGATACGACTTCGGGCGCGGCTGCTCACTCGCAGTGCACACACCTGAGGGGCAGACACCAGGAGCTGTGGGGACTGTCACACATCCTCACATAGCACTCTGACAACCAACTCCACCAGAATCTCTCCAGTGGATGGCAACACCTTCGAAGCTTCAGGTCCAAGCGGAGTCCCAAGCACTGTACGTGACAGCAAAGGATGGAGGAAAGGCAGACCGTCCAGCCCACGAGCCTCGCTGTCAGCAGCGCACACGATGCAGAAACGTCGCTACACAGCAAAGCTGGAGTCTGCCTGCAGAGAAGTTCCCTAGGCCCACGCTGGTCACTTACCTTCAGTTTAGGCACTTCGAGAATCCGCACATCATCTGTGACTGTCCCCACAACCACAGCGGTCTTGTTCTCTCGGCCAGGAAGCTTCATCTTTCGGATCTGAGGAGCAAACAGGTTAAGTCACTCTGCATTCACACCTGTCACCTAGAAGACCAAGACTGCCAATGGCCGAGGCCATCTCCCTTCTCCCCCAACAATGACAAGTCTCTGAAGGCTCTGCCAGATGCCTGTGATTTGCTATCTTTACGTGCACAGAAACACAGGCAAGACTCCTCTAACCTCAGCAGTCAACCAAGCCACAGAAATGCCCAGGTGGAGCCACAGCACGGAACTCTGCACCGCCTGCTGGCCTCAACAACCCAGCGAACGTGACGTGAGTCATGGAGTCCTTGGCGTCTAGTGCCCAGCATCCACTCCAGATCTAGTTCTCCTGCCCAGGTACTAACCATCCGAGACAGGGACAGAGGTGGCCGGTTAGTGCGACTCATAAACAACCTTTTCAGCACAACCTGATTGAAGGTCGAGTTGGTTCGTCTGGCCAGAAACCTGTACAGCTGGAGGGGAAAAGCAAGAGTGGTCACGTGACTGTCCCCACAGTGCTCTCTCATCCTGCCACCTTCTGGTCCCTCCTCTCCCGACCGACGCAGCGGCCAGAGGCTTACCTTGACCAGCAGCCGCAGGTAGATGTCCTGGCTCTTGGGCTCCTTGCGCCGAACCTTTCGGTCCTTGTTGTGGCGAATGTCAACACCCTGTGGAAGTGGGGGACTACTACAGAGCCCATTCCTAACCCCGACAACTGCCCCCTCTTTCTGCTTTGTTTTTTTCAAGACAGCATTTCTCTTTGTAGACCAGGCTGTCCTCGAACTCAAGAGATCTGCCTGCCTCTGCATCCCGAGTGCTGGGATTAAAGGCGTGTGCCACCACCGCCTGTTATCTTTGGTAACATATACAATTGTTACTTATCCTTCAGGCTATTCATTCAACAACTCAAACCCCAGGCCCACCACCAAGCCTCTCAGCAGCTTCAAACATTCCTAAGTTAAAATTTCAAATCTTGTCTGGTTACTGGTCCAGAATAGTGATAGATAGTAACGGGCATGGTATTACACTCCAAGTTCCAGACAAACCAAAAATCCCAAAAGGATCCCAGGAAGATTAAAATTGGAGGGGTGTGTGCTCCACCTACCTGACATTTCCCACCCATGATAACTGACAAGACCTTTGTGTGGGCCTGTTACCATTCCTCCCACACTCCTGAAACTCAGTGAAATCCTGACTCAGAATAAAAACTAAGATGTACAAGACATCCAGCTAGCTCAGTCTACCTTAGAGCACTTGCTTATCGTGCAGAGATCCTTGCAAGAACGTTTACTTCTCAAAACTGCCCCAAATCTGGAAAATAGCCCAAAAAAGCCAATAGTAGGTTCTAGACATGTAAATATCTTTACGGATGACAAAGTGAGACTCTCACTATCTACTTCTGAACAGTCCTAGGAAGGCCAGATGCTTGAGTTATTTTATCCCCACACATTTCCCAAGCTGTTAGCATCCAAAAGTAGTTACTGAACTGCTAACAGTACCGTTTAACAACGAGCACCTTCATGAATGTCTTCCCAACTCTCAAGGCATGGACGGGGTTACTATACACCCTTCCGCCCACCCGAGACCCAATCCCGGGAATGTAGAGCTCCGCTCTCCGCGGGGCTCAACTTCCCATATGACAGCTAAGGAAGCCGGACGTAGTGGTGCTTCCAGCAATCCGAGCACTCAAAAGGCTGAGGCAACGGTACTGCCGTGAGTTCGAGGCCAGACTGGATTCGCTGTGGGTTGCAATCAGCCGGGGTTACAGAGTGAAACTTCGTAAAGGAAAGGAGCCTCCGGAGGCGCCGAGGGCCGGACGCCAGCTGCCGGCTGCGATACGTCGCGGCCGGAGACCCCTGCCTAGTCCCCACAGTCTCCCCTGACGTCAACCGCGGCCGCCCGCACCCCTCTGACACGCTGCGGCCCGGCCCCGCTGAGGATGGCAGCGGATGGGACAGCCGGAGACTAGGGGCGCTCACCATGATGGCGCCTGCTGCTCGGCCAGGTCCAGAAAGACAGAACTGCGCCGGAGTGGGCGGGGAAAGGGCGCTCTGCGAGGCGCACTCGTGACGCTTCAAGGGACGCTCTACCCTGAGTTGTGTCTCTCTGTGGTGTATTGGTGACGCCACATGGGTGCGACGCGGCGCTCTTCCGCAATCTGGGTTTCTCTATGGTATATTGGAGGACCGACTACAGAGGCCCTCAGAGCAACCAGAGAGAAACCAATGCGACACCAGAGAAAAGGGCCGGCACGCAGAGAGCCTCTCTAGCCTTTCCCAGTCCCTGTTCTCTATATTCTTCAGGGATAAAGAGACCTGAGAGCGAGAGATATGCTTGGAGTTGGCAGGAGGAATCTCGCGGTGACTCTCTGGCCGCACGCCGACCGCTTCTCGGTGGCTCCCGGAGGACCCGGTGGGCTGTGTTTTGGAGGTGAGGCTCGTCCCGGCCTGAAGAAAAAGCTAGTTTCACATTGCCGGCATTTCCTTAAATTCGCGGCTTCCTTTTCCTTATGTTCAATTTATTAGGCGCAACTGAAGTTCAGGAAGCCCTACAAGATCTCTAACCCGAGACTTTCTTACTGCAATTCAACCTATAGTACCTGCCCCCGCCTCCGGAATTTTGGGTTCAGTTTTTTCCCTGCCCCTAGATGGCCTCTTCCCGATCTCTCCTTAGTCTCCTTCCTCAGAGAACGGCTCCCCCCCCCCCACCAGATGGTTTTAATTGACCCAACATTTTTGATGTACAAAGTATTAATGTGCAGAAAAGGCACGCGGATCCTCGGCCTGGATCGGATCTGGGGTGGAAAGGGGATGGGTAACAAGCTCCTGAGGTGGGGATAGCCCCGGAGAGAATGAGATAGAGACCATGGCGGGGGTGGGGGGGGGGTGGAGGCCTGAGGGTGAGAAGGGAAAAAGACGAGAGAACCCCCGGCAGAAGGAGACATAGAGGAAAGTTGGCACCTAGCCAGAATGTAGGCTATTTCGGGTGCCAGTTCTGCCACTTTTTTTTTTTTTTTTTTTTTAAGTCTGGGTTTCACAAAGTTGCCCAGCCTGGATTCAGTCTCTCTGCCTCAGCCTCCCAAGTAGCTGGGATTACAGTCTTTCAACACCTGGTTCTGCTATTTTAAAATTGTGACCTTGGGTAAGTTACTTTCTGGTTTTTTTTTTTCCTTGTTTGGAAAAAGAGTGATAACAACCCTAACCGGGTATCTTCCCTGCTTGTATAGGTCTGTAAACATGCTCAGTCAACACTTAGTACGTAATGCTAGGTAGAATCTGCTACCTGAACTTGGGTAGGACAAGACGGGCTAGCTGGATGGGAGATGTTGGCTGTGGGACCCTGAGCTTGCAATGTGCCACTCCTCTGCAGAGCCCCCATCTGGGACTGCACAGTAAGCAGAGCTTTTTACCCAGACCCCCGCCCCCATGTGGCCTCCAGTGCTGGGCTTGGACGCTGTTGTGACAGAGCAGGGGTCTGGCTGTCCACTAGACACCCTGAATCCAAGGGACAGTGGAACCAGGTAAGGCTCTGTCTAGAGCCATGGATCTCAACATGTGGATCGAGACTCCTGGGGGTGTTGTGCGACCCTTTCACAGGGGTTGCATATCAGATGTTTACATTACAATTCCTAACAGCAAAATTACAGCTATGAAGCAGCAACAAAAGTAATTTTATGGTTGGGGGGTCACCACTACATGAGGAACTGCGCTAAAGGGAACAAGCACAGCGTTAGGAAGGTTGAGAACCCCTGGCCTAGAGTCTCCGGTTGTCTTACCATGGGTGAGAACATTGCCAAGGCCCTTCTGCCATTGGCCTTAGCCGTCCCCTACAGGCAGGGCAAGTAGTCCTTTTCTCCCACACAGAGCAGCTGAGGCTATTCAGGGTGAGGCCACAGGACTTAGGTGACTAGCACTTCCCCTTCCCTGTTCCCTTTCTCTGCCAGGTCTCAGTCCCTTTGGTCCTGATTTCTGCCTTAATTCTTCTCAGAGCTCAGTGGTCGTTTCCCCAGAACCTCCATTCTGCTCAGATTCTCCTTCTCCCTTGGCATGTTATGTGGGGCTGTTGCTGCTGTGGATTGGATGCAGCGGACAGCTGTTTGGCGACTACCTTCTCTGCTTACCTCCTTTCTATGAAGCTTTGTCCCTGCCTTGTGAGAGTGTAGTTCAGTGTGAGAGTGCTTTGCCCCAGGTGCATTTGGACAGGAACCTGCATGCACACACACACACACACACACACACACACACACACACACGCTGTCTGCCCACTTGTTTGCTCTTGGTTTCATTCCACCCTGTCTTACCTGTTTTTGTCAACATCTTTTCTCCTGGGCTTAGTTTGGCTCAGACTCTGAATGTGGGGCTTCCAAAGCCTTTTCTCTCCCTATGCCTCTGGGCTGTCTTGTCATGTGCTTGTTTCCTGGGCAGATGGTAATCTCACTCTAAGGCTGAAGTCCAAGGTAAACAGTTGGTAAATCATGAGCTTCCCCACCCTGGTTCTCATTCCAAACTGCCTCCACTAATGTTGGTGATTTTCTGGGCTCTGTTTGTTACGTTGTGTGACACAAGATGTCCCATAACTGTCACATACATGCAGCAAAGGCAAACCCTCCCTTACCGATGCTTCTGCCTCCCCTTCCCAAGTGCTAGAACTACAGGGTACGACCACAAACGTCAATCTCAATGTTTTCATTTCTTTGTTTCTATCTCGGCTTTGCGTGTCAGACCCTCTGTTAGCTACGGTAGAGAGAGTTGGTCTCCGCAGTGGAAGAACTCACCCACGCCCCTTTTTCTTTTTTTAAACTCTGTTGGGACAGGCCGTTTTGACCTCAACAAAGATGGCCAGTTCAGCTTTGCCTAGGTCCACGTCCTTACCTCTGCTGCGTGTGTGCCCTCACTTGTGATGGGGCCTCCTTGCTCGGCCAAAGCCCCTCCCGGTTTTCTCACTCGGCCGGTCAGGTCCCGTCGCGTAGTTCCGGAGGGGGCTGGCCCTGGCCTCTCATTGGTGCGGCTCAGCCTGGCTGCGCAGACATTGGCTGGGCGGACGCACACCCTCCCCACCTTAGAGCTGAGGAGGGCGGTAGTGCAGGCTCTGGAGGGGCGGCCGGGAGGACGCGGCATGCGCACAGGTTGTGGGGTTCGGGGTGACCCTAGAGGGGCGGAAACTCAGGTCCGGTGCGGAACACTTGGTGGGATCTGGAAACGGAAAACCAGGTCCCTGGCTGGGATGGAGACCCAGACTCGGGGCTGCGTTGTGGCCCTGGGGTAGGGGTACGCACCAGGGACCTACTGAAAGGACGGCCGGGAACCTGTGGATGGAGGCCCAGATCTGGAGTCCCGGGAGACCGAGACCCAACCCAGAAAGGAGCATGTATAAGGACGCTGATTTGAGGGAGGTTTGAAGGTGGGCTAGATACCTGGGCATTAAGGAAGCGGCCCGCGGCAGCGGGCAGAGGTAGATCCCGAGGGATAGTCTCCATGGGGGTGTGTCCCAGGCTGCTGTGAGCCTGAGAAAGGTGACAGCAGGTCAGTTGGGCGACTGGATAAGCCTGCCCAAAGGTGAGCAGTTAAGAGGTTGGACCTTCTGCAGAGCAGACGGCACTCAGCCCTGGCTCTCACCCTCTTCTCCAAGAGAAGGCGGCCCACCAGTCAGGTTAGTGCGCCCAGACAAACCGGCTGGTGGGCACTCCCATGTGGCTCCTCTCTGACGGCTCTGTGTCATGTCCGTTCTCTCCTGTCTGTTGCTTTCTTCACTGGGGTGAGAAACTTAAATATCTTATTGGCCTGTGCCTCAAAAGCTGTTGTCTCCTCTGTTTCTCTGCTTTTCAGAGCTGTCCCTTTCTTTTCTGTATCTACATGTCTACATAGTTCTTCCCTCTACCTAGCAGTGACTCAGTGTGTGGGAGGGGACAGTCTTTCTGTCTCAGCCTGTTTTTTTTCCTGTCTCTATCATCCAGTTCCCTTTCCCTCAAGCCCATGCCATCACCCAGTATACCATGTATCTTACCCTTTGGCCACCTTTTTTTTTTTTGGGGGGGGGGGGCGTTTCTCTGTGTAGCTTTGGCTGTCCCGGAACTTGCTGTGTAGACCAGGCTGGCCTCCAATTCAGAGGTTCACCTGCCTCTGCCTCCTGAGGCTGGGATTAAAGGCGTGGGCCACCACCACCAGACTCTTTCTTTTCTGTCTTGTGGATGACATGGGTTTTTGTTGTTTCTTTGTGGGTGGGGTTGTTTTTGAAACAGAGTTTCCCTGGCTGGCCTTCACCTTGGGGCCCGGACTCCCAAGTGCTGCTTGTGTGCACCACTAGCCTGGCTGTCTTGAGTTTGAACCAGCTGTTATCTGGAAGTTAAAGACACATTTTCATGCCTGGATACTGGCTTTCCGGCCCTGCATCATGGGGTCTCTCCACGCTTTTCTGAGTCTGGTATTCCCTTCCCATACTCTCACTGTCTCCTCCTCACAGGCCCCCTCCTCCCCACCTTGCATGAGGATCCAGGATTCTGATCATTGTCTTCCTCCCTCCCACAGAGGCTGGAGCGGGAGCTGACCACAAGCCAAGGGTCTAGAAGTGCTTGGACAGGGCTAAGGTCATCATGGCCCCACCGCCACTACTGCCATTGGCTTCCAGTACTCCAATCCTGCACGGGGAGTTTGGTTCCTACCCAGCCCGTGGCCCACGGTTCGCCCTCACCCTCACAATGCAAGCCCTGCACATACAGCGGCTGCGCCCAAAGCCAGAAGCCCGGCCCCGAGATGGCCTGGTCCCGCTGGCAGAGGTCTCAGGCTGTGGCACTCTGCAGAGCCGCAGCCCCTCAGACACTGCAGCCTACTTGTGTGTCTACACCTACCCACGGGGCCGGCGCGGGGGTCGGCACAGAGCTACTCGTACCTTCCGGGCTGACGGGGCCGCCACTTACGAGGAGAATCGTGCAGAGGCTCAGCGCTGGGCAACTGCCCTCATGTGTCTCCTTCGAGGAGTGCCTCTGTCTGGGGACCAGGGTGAGATGCTGGGCCAGAGCCACATAGGTGTTTGTGTCTTTCTGTTTGTACCTTGTGTCCTTCTGGGTCTGTCTCAGAAGAGTGAGTGCCTCTGCTCTTGGCTAGACTGTCTGTCCCTCCCTGGACAAGAGTCGAGTACCAGGCTCCCAGGTGTGTGACAGAAGGCTGGCTGACAATGGTGAGGTGCCACACAGGTCTCCAGGATTCTCAAGCTGCCCAGAGGCGGCCTGATGCTCCACTCCACACAGGGAGGAGGCTTTCCGGCAGAGCCTAACTCACCCAGGCCCACTTCCTGTAGGAGCCTCGCAGGCCTTGGAGCTGCTCAGGCCAGTGACGGTGCAGGAAACTGATGCTGGTTAACAGGTGTTCAGGGATCAAGGCTCCTTTCTCCACCTGCCACACACAGGTTCAAAGGGCACATACTTGCTTTCACAACCTTTTTCTCAGCACCTGTGTGAAAGAACTGGGCCGCCCACACTGGGCCGCCCACACTGGCCAGGTGACAGAAGGGACACTTCTGGAAGGGAAACTCCCAGCAGGCCCTGGGTACCTGCCCTTTAGTTATCAAGTCTCTTTGGGGCCCCTTTACCAAGAGGAGGAGGCCTGGTCTCTGGCAGATTCAGTCCTTTCTTTCTCTCCTCCTCCCTCCATCTCTCCAGAAATCACCCCTGAACTACTGCCCCGGAGGCCCAGGCTGCTCATATTGGTTAATCCTTTTGGGGGGCGGGGCCTGGCCTGGCAGCGCTGTATGGACCACGTGGTGCCCATAATCTCCGAAGCTGGGCTGTCCTTTAACCTCATACAGACAGGTAAGGGCTGCTGAGGTATGGTGGGGAGGGATACTCCTAGATCTTCTGGAGGGGTGTGGCAGGATGAGGAGGCTTCTTGGCTAACCTTTATATTTGTCCATTTAGAACGACAGAATCATGCCCGTGAGCTGGTGCAGGGGTTGAGCCTACGTGAGTGGGAAGGCATTGTCACTGTCTCCGGAGATGGGCTGCTTTATGAGGTAGAGCCACAGACAACCTAACCCTGCCCTGGGGGGAACTGGAGAGGGTAGTGAGGACCCAGGCAGCCCTATCCCAACTGCAGGTGCTGAACGGGCTCCTTGATCGCCCAGATTGGAAAGATGCCGTTCGGATGCCCATTGGGGTCCTCCCCTGCGGTTCCGGCAATGCACTAGCTGGGGCGGTTAACCACCATGGCGGGTACGTTGACTGCTTCTGCTGAGACAGCAGGGATACCTGCTAAGCGAGGGATGAGCCTTTGGGACTACATGGTCTTGTAACATTGAAGCATCCCGCCCCCGCTTCCCCTGACCCAGTAGCTAGATCTGGACTTGGCCCACGGAAGGCCTCTAGGAGTGCTTGTGGAGGACTGTTGGCACCCCCCCCCCCCCATTGCGCTCCCCTGTGACACCCATCTCTGCTGCGCAGGTTTGAGCCGGCTGTCGGTGTTGACCTGCTGCTCAACTGCTCTCTGCTTCTCTGCCGCGGTGGCAGCCATCCTCTGGACCTGCTCTCCGTCACGCTAGCCTCAGGATCCCGCTGTTTTTCCTTCCTGTCAGTGGCCTGGGGATTCTTGTCAGATGTGGACATCCACAGCGAGCGTTTCAGGGCCCTGGGTAGCGCTCGATTCACACTGGGTGCAGTGCTAGGCCTGGCCACATTGCACACCTATCGTGGACGCCTCTCCTACCTCCCCGCTACCACAGAGCCAGCCTTGCCCATCCCAGGCCACAGCCTGCCTCGAGCCAAGTCAGAACTAGCCTTGGCCCCAGCCCCAGCCCCAGCCGTCACCCACTCACCCCTACATCGTTCAGTGTCTGACCTGCCCCTGCCTCTGCCCCAACCTGCCTTGGTCTCCCCTGGCTCCCCTGAACCCCTACCTGGCCTTTCCCTCAATGGTAGTGGCCCAGAGCTGACTGGGGACTGGGGGGGAGCTGGGGATGCACCTCTGTCCCCAGACCCACTGCTGCCCTCGCCCCCCAACTCTCCCAAAACAGCTCAGCTTTCACCCATCACCGAAGGGCCCCCGGAAATGCCAGCGTCCTCGGGGTTCCCGCCTCCCACCTCCAGCGCTCCAAAAGTCTCTACCTGGGGCCCAGAGGACCACCTTCTTCCTCCCCTCGGCTCTCCACTGCCCCCAAACTGGGTGACAATAGAGGGGGAGTTTGTACTCATGTTGGCCATCCTGCCCAGCCACCTCAGTGCAGACCTGGTGGCCGCCCCCCATGCTCGATTTGATGATGGCGTGGTGCACCTGTGCTGGGTGCGCAGTGGCATTTCACGGGCTGCGCTACTCCGTATTTTGCTGGCCATGGAGCACGGGAACCACTTCAGCTTGGGCTGCCCGCACCTGGGCTATGCTGCAGCTCATGCCTTCCGCCTCGAGCCACTCACGCCTCGGGGCGTGCTCACTGTGGATGGGGAGTTAGTGGAGTACGGGCCAATGCAGGCACAGGTGCATCCCAGTCTCGCCACACTGCTCACTGGGCCTGCGGGCCCAAAGCGGTAAACCTAAAGGAGCCTGAAACATGCCATGGTGGGACTAGAGCACCATAGGATGTGGCCTGGCTTTTATAGGTAGAAGCAGGACCGGGTTCAGAATAGCGAGAGTGGGGATTGGGTCTGACATAGCAGTTGGGGGTGGGGCCTTGCCTTCCTCGCTGTCCAATGATGGGGCCTGGAATGTATGAGCTAGCAAGGCCTCAGCTCATTGGCCAGCCAGGGTTTCTTCTTGCTTACTCCGGTGCCTCCACTTGACTGGCCAATCAGCCCTTGAGGGGCAGGTTCCCCCAGGCGGTCCCCAGGATTTGCACTAATGGTCCGCCCCTTGCCGGTGAGGGGTGGGGGAATTCACTTCTCATGTTATGTCTTGTGTGTCCCTGGTCTAAAAAGCAATTGAAAAGGTCTATGCAATAAAGGCGTCGCTTTCTTCTTCGCCCCTTCCATCTGATGGCCCTTTCAGTCAACATTGCCCTTTAAGGATCACGGTAGATGTACCCAACTCGGGCTGCCGCTGGCTTTGACTCAGAGCCAGTAGCTGCTCTGTCCCCCACAACAGCTGGCTCCTGGGTTCTCAAGATTTATTCAGGATTGTGTTGACGGAGGCGGTTGGGTGGATGGATAGGTTCCCCGAAGTGCTAAGAGCACACACAGGACCCTCCCCACCCCCACGAGGGAGGTGGGAGATGGCTAGCTTTTTCTTAAAAATATAAATGTATTTGTATCATCACGTCCCTGGGCACCTAGCTGGCCAGACCATCAGCCATGGGACGAGGAGGGAGGAAGAGTGGCAGGTGCAAGTCTGAGTAAGGAATAGAACTCTGCCCAGGCAGGGTGGACGTGGCCTCACAGTGTCCCGTGCTGGGCCTGATAGCGTGAAAGCACAGCGCGGTAGTGGGACAGCTCCTGCCGCACAGCCACCACCTCCTGCCGCAACAGGGCGTTCTCCTTCTCCAGGAAGGCTGCCCGCACCGATATCTGATTCTCCTTGAGTCTTCGTGCGTCCCGAGACCTCTTGGCTGCCTCGTTGTTCTTGTACCTCCGACTCCAGTACTTCTCATCCTGGGGATGGAGGGGTGGAAAGGCACTGAGATCCAACCAAGGGACAAGTGGCAGGTTTGGAAACACTCCCACAAACATCCCCATCCACGTGCCTGTTTCTGCACAGCAGTGAGAACTAAGGGCTACTAGTCTTTGCTGGGACAGGCACCCGAAGTTGTGCTATCTATTGCTCTAGCTGCTAAAACCAGGCCCCTAGCAGAAAGCTAATCACAAGATAGACTCCAGGTATACACATGAAAAAGGCCGGTCTTCAAATTCTCCACCGTACAGAGCAAGCCTCTCCACTTGACAGGGACCTACGGAAACCTGGTTGTGATGGATGTTTGTTACCTAGCAACAAGGCCTTCAGGGTCTAAGGGCTTATCCCATTGAAGAGCACCCTGCCTTAGAATTCACCTTTCCAGATCCCGGTTGCTAAGGAAAGCGTGGATAGCCCCCCAGTGACGGGGTTGGTGTCCTGGTTGTCAAGGTAACCTCATCTCAGCAAGTCAACTTAAGCTGTAAGGAGACCCAATGATCCTACCCAGTTTCTTTCCTTCTGTCCTTGAACTGATGTAAGGGAACTGTCTGCCTCCCCTTCCTCCCTCTGGTACCTAACTGAAGGAAGAGGTGGAAGCTGAGGCTTCCCCTGAGAATTACACCATGGGTCTCCCACCCAGCTGGGAAAGATACTTCCCTCAGCTTCCTCTTAATTAAAGGTTCCAGCTTGCCAGGACACATTCATTCCCTAGCAACAGCTGAGCTCTGTAGCAGGAAAAGCCATTGGTATAGACTGGGTTTCTTAGATGGAACTAGATGCTGAAATGGCTATGATACAAGGCCATGGCAAAGACGGGAGAGAAGTCCAAGTACCTCTTCTTTGCTAGCAGAGACCCCAATAACAGCAAAACCAGAATGGTAGAAGGATGCATTTGCTGCTCAAACTCCCCCAAATTAGAACATGGCTGGTAAAGGATGACCCCAGGCAGAGGCAGTCCTATGGATGTTTCAGGTTAAAAGCCAAAGACCAGCTCCAGCCAGGCCAGCTGCTCAGCAGCAGGCTGATGGGGCACTAAAGAAAGCTGTAATTAGCAACTGAGCCCCTGGGAACTTGAGCCCTGCTCCATCCACAGGGGGCTCCAGGTCCAAGTGACAGAATCCACAATGACACCATCTGTGACTCTCAGGACAGAGCCTGTCCTCAGGAACCTCACGAACCAGGGTATGTCTACAGGCCACAAGACTCTGAGACCTCATCCCAAAGAGAAGTTTCCCACAGCTATGAGCAAAGGCAGTTCCTGACCAAAGTCGCACCCACACCTGGTCACGCTCACCTTCTGTTCCTCTGGCACCTGGACTTTCCTTGCCTTCTTCATGATTGGCTGAGGCTTCAGTTCCTCCTCTGAGAAGCGGTGTCTCCGAGGGTCAAAAGTCTCATGGCCTGGAATGCTTGACAGGGCAAGATCAGCTGGGTCAGGTTCAAAGGTCATTAGCACCTCCACGGTGTCTGGGTCCACAGGACTGGGTGTGTCCCTAGAGGTCAAGCCTGGAGAAATACATACCACTTGAATGCCTGAGTATTTAGTTTGGGGACTGCTTTCTCAGGGGTCCCCTCCACCTTATCCACCACAGGGTAGTCTTTCCTGCAGTCTAACACAAAGCCTGCCTGTCAAGCATCAACCCTGACAAAGACCCTTAGCCACCTTGAAAGCAGTTCTACCTTCATGAGTAAAGGCACAAATGACCGGATTAAATATCCCGTGAGTCTGCTGAAAGCTTCTAAAACCTTTTCCCCCCCACTCTCTCGTCTGAATCCTACTTACTGAATTCTCTGTATGCTCAGAGTTTAAACCTGTTAGACTCACTCCTAAGAGTGATGGAAAAGCAGAAGCTGCTCCGAGGTTCCAGAAGCTTGGCCAAAAAAGGATGATGCCTGTGTCTTTAAGAACAGACAAGCCGGGGCCAGCTGAGGACACGGGTTCAGGGCCGAATCACGTGTAGCTGACTGCTTCCCCACCCCTCCGCCTCCCCCCCCACCACGCACCCTCACGTTCCCGGGCCCCGCCTCCTCGCGCGTGAAAGCGCGTGCGCGCAGCAGGGAGGGAGGACTCACGTGGCGCGGGAATGTGCAGCACTGTTTTGCCTGGAGGTCGGATCAGGGACAGGTGTACCCAGGTGTCCCACAACGAGACTCTTTGTCTTGATAGGGGTCGCCTCCCCTCTTGTTCCTTTTGGTCTCAGCTCCAACATCTCCAAGGATCCTATCCACCCACCCCGCGCTTATGGGGATCGTAGGAGAACCGGCCTGACAAGCCCTTTGCCATCGAGACTCCCACAATTCTGAGATCCTAGGTCCCCGTCGCAGGAATATGGGGAGCTCCCTCTGGACAATCCAGAATCGGGACCCCGGCATTTTCTGCTACAAGACTCTGGGAGCCAGGATGCAACACCCTCCACTGGAAGGGGGGTGGGGATCCGGGAACCTAGTGTCCAGCTCTGGCCTGCTCCAATTTTAGATGTCCTTGAAGTCCAGTCCTATCTCGTTTCCCAAAATTCTGGACAGAGACATGGAGTCAGTCCGCTCCCCAGTTAACTAAGGTGTTCTGAGTTTCTAGTCTTGGCTCCAGGAGCATGAGGAAAACTTTATCCTAGAGAAAAATACAGCCTCTCCCAGGATAATCCTCTGACATTTAGGGGCCCAGGTTCCCTTATGGATCGCCGCATCTCATTGGGCAGAGTTCCAAAAGCGTCGCGAGGCCCACCCCCTGCCCGCCAGCCCCGCCCCTTCACCGCACCTGCGCGGTGGCCGCCGGCGGCTCCCAGGGTAGCCCGCGCGGGGGCGTGCCCCGGCGACGAGCGGGGGGAAGAGGAGCCACAAGAGCCGGGCCCCGGGGAGGGCGCGGGCGTGCGCGCTGGAGAGGGTGCGGGCGACAGGCCCCCGGGGGGCGGCGGGCTGGGCGGGAGCCCGTGCTCCAGCAGGAAGGCGTCCAGGTCCACGTATTCCACGTCGCCGAAAGGCAAAGTGCGTTCCCATAGCAGCGGCGCAAAAAGACTCGGGCCAGCCACCGGCCCCGAGCGTCCCCGCGGGGACCCACCGCCACCAACTGCCCCTGTCGGGGCATCGGCTGGGCCAGCCGTTTCCAGGCCCGGTCCCGGGACGGGAGCTGGGGGCAGAGTCGCCTTCCGCTCCTTTTCCTTCAGGAGACCTGTGGGTCGGGGGAGACGGGATGGGGAGGAGACACACGGGAGGGGCCCCCAAGTCAGAGATGAAGTATAGAGACACGCATGGCGGAGATGCAAAGAGGTGATGAGACCGGAGCCGTAAGGCAAAGACCCAGAGAAGTGCGGACAGGTTAGGGAGACAGGAACCCAGAAAGCAGAGGGGCATAAACACGGGGGTTGGGGAGGCCCAGAAAGAGGGACAGGACGACAGGGACCCCAAGAGAGAAAAAGAGAAAGTATACAGAGAGACAGGGATAGAGACACAGAAAACAACCCAGAGGAAAATGATGGAAGTTTAGAAAAAGGGATTTAGAGACAGGGTGGGTGAGAGGTTGGGCAGGTGAGAGAAAAAGGGACAGCTCAGTAATTCCCCCACCCCTGGCGCCTTCACCCCCCTCCCCCACAATCTGTTAGGGGCAGGAAGCGAGCCACTGCACGGGCACATTCCTCCTTTCTAGTTTCCATGTGATCCTGAGAGGCCCCGCCCAAGCCCGTGTCAGCACCGTGTGAGCATCCGACACACCCCCTCCCTTCCCCAGGATTCCAGGGGTCCAGACTCCGAGGCCAAAGGGAAGGAAGGGGGGCTGGCACCTAGACTCCGTCCTAATGGAGGAAGACTCTGGGGACTGGACCCTTGGGCCTTCCAGGGGTCAGATTTAGCCATGGACGCTGAGAGACTGAGATGGCCAAACACCTGAGTAACCGAATGACAACTAGGAAAGATGGGACACCTAGCACATAGGACCACCACCCCAACATTTCAGTCCTTAAGACAGTGGGACTAGAACTCACAGCTGGCCGGCTCTTTGGGCTTGCTGGTCCCCTGCAGAAGGCTCCGCAGCCCAAGCAACGCTCCCCCGCCAGGTGGGGCCCCTGCCGGGCCTCCCAACAGCAGGGGGCCCGGGGTCCTGTCGCTCAGAGGCCGCGCCATCGCCGGACACCTGCTCCCAGGTTCATGAGCTCATGGAGAGTCGAAGAGATGAGAGACCAGTCACCTGCACACTGCTGTGGTTCGGGCGAGTGTGTCCCAGGGTCGGGCGAGCGCCGCTGCAAGCCTCCAGTGTCAGAACGTTGCAAATCCTAAGAGCTCTGCGGGGGTCAGCCAGTCCTCTGCAGAAAGGTGCAACTCAAGAGGGTCCCGGGAGGATCCTATAGTCTGGGCGAGTGGGTGACCAAGCCGCTG